ACAACCACTTTAAAAATACAACTAAAAGACGGAACGGACATCATCCAGAACCACAGGAAGGCTGGCTGAGGAGAGACTCTTCAACTAGAAGGAAAAATAACAGCACACCGAGGCTCAGAGGAGGCGCAGTGTGGAAAATACTCAGGTGCGGAGGTGCGCGCGCAAAGCGGGCTGGTGGCTGAGAGCGCGGTTGTCGTTTTCGGTCAGGGGGGAGTCTCAGACTCTGAGCTCCAGATACGGGCGAATCGCTGGGGACTCGGACCCAAACGGGAGAAGCGGGAGTGTCTGGCATCAGTTGGAAGGCAGCTTTCCCTCCGAGGTTTGCAGCGGTTCCGGGGGTTCTGAGAAGCAGAGCCTCTGGGAACAGGACTGAGGGCACCATAACGGCTCCCTCCGCCCGCCCTGTTGAGCCCGCCCCGCCCAAGCCCTGCGCAGAGCCATTTGCCGGATCGCCTCAGGCAAAGGCTAGATTAGCACCTCCCCAGAGGACAGAAGTTTTCCGCGGCAGACACAGCTGATTCACACAGCCAGTCGGCCTGGTGGTCAAATCCCTCTAGTATTAACTACAACAATCAAGGCTCAACTAGAACAAGACTGCGCACAAAGACCACTAGGGGGTGCACCAAGAAAGCATAAAAAATGCGGAGACAAAAAAACATGACAGAAATGGAGGATATAGAGCTAAAAATCGCAATTTTGAGGGCTTGCAAAAATGTGCTAGAAGCTGTCAATAAACTTGAGGAGAGAGTCACGAAAACTAATGAGACCCTCGATGCTATGATAAAGAACCAACTAGAAATTAAGCATACACGGACTGAAATAAAGAATATTATACAGACACCCAATAGCAGACCAGAGGAGCGCAAGAATCAAGTCAAAGATTTGAAATGCGAAGAAGCAAAAAACACCCAACCGGAAAAGCAAAATGAAAAAAGAATCCGAAAATACGAAGATAGTGTAAGGAGCCTCTGGGACAGCTTCAAGCGTACCAACATCAGAATAATAGGGGTGCCAGAAGATGAGAGACAGCAAGATATTGAAAACCTATTTGAAGAAATAATGGCAGAAAACTTCCCCCACCTGGTGAAAGAAATGGACTTACAGGTCCAAGAAGCGCAGAGAACCCCAAACAAAAGGAATCCAAAGAGGACCACACCAAGACACATCATAATTAAAATGCCAAGAGCAAAAGACAAAGAGAGAATCTTAAAAGCAGCAAGAGAAAGAGACTCAATTACCTACAAGGGAATACCCATACGACTGTCAGCTGATTTCTCAACAGAAACTTGGCAGGCCAGAAGGGAATGGCAAGAAATATTCAAAGTGATGAATACCAAGAACCTACAACCAAGATTACTTTATCCAGCAAAGCTATCATTCAGAATTGAAGGTCAGATAAAGAGCTTCACAGATAAGGAAAAGCTAAAGGAGTTCATCACCACTAAACCAGTATTATACGAAATGCTGAAAGGTATCCTTTAAGAGGAGGAAGAAGAAAAAGGTAAAGATACAAATTGTGAACAACAAACATGCATCTATCAACAAGTGAATCTAAGAATCAAGTGAATAAATAATCTGATGTACAGAATGAACTGGTGATTATAATGAATCAGGGACATAGAAAGGGAATGGACTGACTATTCTTGGGGGGGAAAGGGGAATGGGAGATGCGGGAAGAAACTGGACAAAAATCGTGCACCTATGGATGAGGACAGTGGGTGGGGAGTGAGGGCGGAGGGTGGGGCGGGAACTGGGAGGAGGGGAGTTATGGGGGAAAAAAAAAAGAGGAACGCATTACACCAATTCATTTTTGCAGATGACTTACATTAGTACCTGTTTTTGCTAACTGAAAGAAATCCAAAGAGGATTTTTGTTTTTACCAAAAACTGTTATTGTCACTGTTTCTATTTTTCTCTTTGTTTTAGGCTCAGGATATTAACATCAGTTAGGATGAATAATCTTGTGAGTCACTAGGGGATCAGAAAAGCTTGACCACCTATTTACAAAAATGGCTTGATGTGAGGAAAGAGCTCATTCACTCTGCAGCTTCACGAAATTCTTTCAGATACCCCCAAATTTGTTATTTGGTAACGGCACAAACAAGAAGAGAAATTGGTTCTGTTCACTTCCTCTAAATTGAGGCTCTGCACAAGATTTTCAGACAAATAATGCAACAGAATTTGAATGTACTAGTCTTTTCTCTACTTAAACTATACAAACCATTTTCTCCTCTGTAGATGTAACAAGTGGAGTCAACTTTTTAATATATAATTTATAGTTATTAGCCTAATGTTCTTTACCATGGCAGGTGGTTAGGCCTTTTGTTTTGTTGTTATTGCTAAAATTCTCATATGAATATCTCCAAATCGAGCATATTGTCTGGAATGCCATTATGTAGTCATTCAGTGCCTATTAAAGTCTAGGGACTACTAGGCACTAGCCTGCCCTCGTGAAGTTTAGATTCTAGTAAGTCCTAATAGGGGAAAACAGATTTAAAAACATGTATAAACATGTATACATATATAAATATTTTAAAATATTTATTTATATGGGGTGTCCCCAAAAATGTCTCTCACACTTTGAATAATTATGAAGGCAATGTTTATTAAAACATTTTCAAAATTGAGCTATCAGCTGTTAAAGTGTGTATACATTTTTGTGGACATCCTGTATATGTAACACATACATGTTAAACATGTATTTATATACATATAGACAAGTATTTTATAAATTATGCATGTATATTTACATGTAAATATATCTATACTAATGACCCAGGGCACAGATTCGTGCACATTGAAAGGAAATTAATTAGAAGATGGCCGATGAGGTGGGACTGGGCGAGAAGGGCCAGACACGCCCTGGAGCCAACCTCCTGCAGCCCCTCCCCGGCTGGCCGCACCTGGGGTGGAGCCATGGCTGGAAGGGTGTCTGCGGAGTGAGCGGGGTCCCTCCGGCAGGTTGGGTCCCCCGGCCTGGCCTGCGGGGATCGGGCCGAAACCAGCTCTCTGACATCCCCCAAGGGGTCCTGGAGTGCAAGAGGGCACTCTGCAAAGTTGCTGTCGTACAGGGTGTGGAACGCAAACACAAGTGTGCAGTAAACCAGATTCGGAGCCGACAGTGCCCCAGAACCAATGTAACCCACGGCGGAAGATGGAATCACACAGCCCCGGGAGGAATCGGGCTTCCTCTTCTCTGGTTTTGGGGTGCATCACCCGAGAACCACCGCTGCCAAGTCACTGCAGCTCAGCAGCTCCTGTGCTGAGCGTCTGCCCACTGGTGGTCAGTGTGCATCATACCTATCGGCCGGGTGGACAGTGGCTTAGCCTTTTATATATATAGTTATGTGTAATGTATGCATTTATTTTATATATTTTATACATATATTTTACATGTAAATGTCTGTATATATGACTATATGTATGAAACATGCCAGGTGATAAGTGTTATGGAAAAAAATAAATAGGGTTAGGAGAGAGGGAGTGCTCGGCAAGAAGTTATTTTAGGTAGTTAGTCAAGGAAGATCTCTGATAAGGTTTGATCACAGCCCTGAAGGAAGTGAAGGGACTATGTGAGGAAAATCAGCTGTTGCTGTAACCAAAACCAAGGTTCAGCTGCCTGCCACCACAAAAACCAAACTGATGAAATAGGCTAGTAAGCCAGGACAAGCAGAATAAGGAAACTGAGATAGTTAAACAGCAGTTTGCAGCCATCTACAAAATCTCGCTGCCCAGCAGTTTGTAGCCATCCAGTAAATCCTATCGTCCTTAAACCAGGGACACTTAAGAGTACATAAATGGGTTGCACTTCTCCCCAACCAGAGGATAAATAGCTTAAATCACCCTACTCAGGAAGACAGCTGAAATCCAATTAGCGTCATTTTGCCAACCACACCCAAGGACAAATGAAGTTAAGAGAATAAACCTCATTCTGATGAATTTTTTATTGAGATCCTCCCATAACACCTCCCCTAAATGCTCAGCCTTTAAAACCCTTCAAAACGAAGTTCCAGCATGCTCTCCCTCCCAGGAGCATACCCATGACTCGCCTCCTACTTTTCTCCTAAACTCGAAGGGACCAGGAGAGCAATAGGCTGCAGCAATTTGTCCCAGACAAATCCCGTGAACCTGTCCGCAAGGCCTCCTTTTCTCATGTCTATTTGATTTTTAGACCAGCCAAAAGAACCATGAGGCTAGAGAAAAGTTTCTCCACTTGGAATTCCCAAAGTTGCCAAAATCTTAGACAAGTGCCAAGCCCATCTTTATTTTCTTGCATCCAATTGTGATAAGCCTAAGTATTTCAAGTTGGTGGAGGCCCTTTATTGGAAAGAAGCCTGTTGCATAGAATTGGATGCATGATGCCATGAAACACTCCACTCATCAAACTAATTCTCCTTTGTTCCCATTCCATGTTTGCCAAGCAACTTTATGATTTGATTTGCCACATACATCTGCCAATAACATAACATTCTAACATAACATTTTACCTTTTGTTCTTTTTTTTCCTGGGGTACTTGAAAGTACTAGAAAATGTATCTTCACCAGACAGTGTTTGAATGTGAAAATAAGATATTCCAAATAGCTATTTTACTAGGTTGGACTGATCCAACCTCAAACAACAGGTGGTAGAGACAGTAAAGGAAAAAAAAGAAAGAGCCCTAGCTGGTTTGGCTCAGTGGATAACGGGTCTGACTGCGGACTAAATGGTCCTTGGTTCAGTTCTGGTCAAGGGCACATACCTCGATTGCAGGCTCCTGGCCCTGGTCAGGGGCATGCTGGAGGCAACTAATCAATGTGTCTCTGTCACATCAATGTTTCTCTCTGTCTCTCCCTCTCCCTTCCACTCTCTAAAATAGAAAAAAATATTCTCAGGTGAGTATAAGAAAAATAAATAAAACAGGTCCTGTGCACTTGGAAACTATGTGAAAACATCAGTACTGATTATACCGAAGTCAACCATTCAGACAATTAAATAGAATATTTAATACAGACAAAATACTTTTTAAACACAATCTCTAATTTTAAAATTTTGCTTTGTTAAAAATGAATCAGTAAGTGTCTTGGTCATCATCACACCAACAAATATTTTATTGGTTATAAGGGCAAGCTGAATTCAGTAACAAAAATATGTAATTAAATTATATATTAATATAAAGAGATAAAGAATTGAAATAGATTATTTTGATTTACTTAATCAGAGACCATGCATCTCAAACATATTATTTTCTATAAATTTGTAATATTTTTCCTTCCAACAGCACTAGAGCACTAAAATAAAGTGATTCTGCACAATTACCCATAACATGTACAAAGATTCCCAATGCCTCCAGTTATTTTGAAAAAACTCTAAACAAAACTCATTACAATACCTAGTTGCTTCCAGTAGTCATTAAGATTTTACTTCTGTTCCTTGAATTATGTTCCGAATCTTCTCAGCATCATTTTGTACAATTTTGTTGGACGGATCAATCTTAAGTGCAGCTTCATAATCCTGTAGGCCTATATTTATATAGCAATAATGATCAAGAAAATATTTCATAAATACTTACTTGTATTATCTAGACAATATATATTTTTAAATATGTTTTTAGAGAGAGAGGAAGGAAGGGGGGAGAGAAAAACATGGATGAGAGAGAAACCTCAATTGGCTGCCTCCTACACACTGCCTAATGGGGATGATGCTTGAAACCTGGACATGTGCCCTGATCAGGAATCCAATAGGCAAACTCTCTTGGTGCATAGGATGATGCTCAACCAACTGAGCCACACCGGCCAGGGCTTAGACAATATTTTTTAAAAATACAAATAACCACTAAGAATATGGTTCAGGACCAGTACCAGGCTTTAAATCAGATTCACATCACACACATGGCAGTAGCTCTAACAGACTGCAGAAATTTTTCAGTGATTTTGCGAATAATTATAATGAGTTCATTCAGGATTCAGTAAGAAGCAGTTATTTCAAATTCAAGAACAAATAAGCTAAAAGCTTAAATTCATTAAAGCATGAACAGAATCAATAAAAGTCATATATTAATGAAAGGACATTTTTATCGCCCCAGTGAAAAAGTAATAAATGGGCCGTGGCCAGGTAGCTCAGTTGGTTAGAGTGTCATCCCAATAAGCCAAGATTTCAGGTTTGATCCCATCAGGGCACATAAAAGAATTAACCAATGAATGCATAAATAAGTGGAACAATAGGAGATGGGATCAAGAGCTCCAAGGGAGGCTCTGGCTGGGTAGCTCAGCTGATTAGAGCATTGTCCCCATACACCAAGGCTACAGGTTCAATTGCCGTTGGTCAGGGCACATAGGAGAATCAACCAATGAACTCATGAACAGGTGGAGCAACTAATACCTCTCCCTTCCTCTCTATTTCAAAAATCAATTAAAAAAAAAAAAAAAGAGCCCTGGCCTGGCTGGCTTAGTTGGTTGGAGCTTCATCCCATGGACCCAGAGGTTGTGGATTCGATTCCTGGTTGGGGCTTGTAAGGAGGCATCTGATCAATGATTCTCTCTCACATTGATGCTTCTCTCTCTCTCCCTTCTTCTCTCTAAAATCAATTTAAAAATATCCTCAGGTTGAAGATTTTTTTAAAAAGTAATAAATGGCATCTTATTTAGAAATTCTAAATTTCTAAAAATAATTTTGGTAGACAATTCATACTTTTTGTAATTCATAAACTGTAGTTTGTGGGGGTTTTTTTCCTGTAGTTATAGCTACAGAATTCCTTTGAGGATAATTGGTTAAGAAAGAAAGCATTGTGGATGGGTTGGTAAATCATTACCAATAAAACAGTAGGAAGAATTTCTTTGGGAGGAAGGAAACTTGAGTTCTAAGTGCTGTATTGATTTGCCACGCTACTTCAGACAAATCACTTAACTTTTCCAACCCTTCGTTTTCTCATCTTTAGCTCAAAAAAGCCTGATGCTACTATAATTTGAAAAGATAGTTTTATAATGTTTCATTCCTGTCTTGGTATTTTTTTATCCTCATGAAGCTAGATAAGACACTATATTAGCATATAAACATAATATAGATGCTTTGGTTAGAAAAATCTTCTAAAAATGGCAGTAATAAGTTTAAAGATGAACTTAGAAATAATAAAACTTTTAAAGGCTAGAGTCCATTAGGCCTTGAATGAAGGGAAGCTAAAAACCCATCTGGGAAGGAGGTATGGGAAAAGGAGCGCTGAAGATGAAACCTCGCTACTACAATATTTTGCCTTTGGAACAACGTGAGTAGCTAACTGTAAATAAGCCCTAAATACATTAAAAATGTAAAATAATAACAATTAAATAAGTGATATGGCTTCAATACACATAGGGCTTAGTTACAAACCTTCGTACAGTGTTACACATATATACATAACAAGTGCTTGCTTCGGCAGCACACATACTAAAATTGGAACATACAGAGATTAGCATGTTCCATATTTAAAAAACAAAAAACACACAAACATATGTAATAATAATACATTGTGGTAGATCAGTTATTTCTGAGCACATGCATGTGTGTGACCAAAGAAGCTCATTTTAAAATTTCCATTATATCATAAGTGAATCATTTATATCCTATATCACACATCTTTTCATGGAAAAGTTGATATCACAGCATTTCCTAGATCTACACTTGTTCACATCTTGTTCTACTCCCTTATATAAGAATCTATTTTTAAAATATTTCAAAAATTTTGAGTCGGCCTGGTGGTCATATCCCTCTAGTTTTAACTACAACAATCAAGGCTTAACTAGAACAAGACTGCGCACAAAGACCACTAGGGGGTGCACCAAGAAAGCATAAAAAATGCGGAGACAAAAAAACATGACAGAAATGGAGGATATAGAGCTAAAAAACGCAATTTTGAGGGCTTGCAAAAATGTGCTAGAAGCTGCCAATAAACTTGAGGAGAGACTCACGAAAACTAATGAGACCCTCGATGCTATGATAAAGAAACTAGAAATTAAGCATACACG